CGTCTCAGTTTCCCACTCCCAGACGGTACTTCATGCTGAATTGGAACTCAGAGCTGCCAACTACCAATGCCCGGTGGCATCCAGCTTGGCAGTGGTCAGCAGGTAGGTCAGTGGGTTATTGTCTGTCTTGACCACAAATGTAGCTCTGTACATGTAATCTCTCAACTTATCAACTACGACCCATTTCAAAGCCAGGAACTCCAATTTGTGCACAGGAAAGTGAGTCTTAGACTCAAGTAGGCTATAAGACATAGCTTCCCTTCCGATTCTTGATACAAGACTCCCAGCCCATCTTGCTGGCATGGACATGGAGCTCATAAGGTTTAGAGGGATCCGCCTATGCTAGAACAGGCACTTTCGTGAGGCTCCTTTTTAGGTGATGAAAAGCTTTCTCATACTGAGAGGTCCATTGATTCTGGATATATTCTCTGGACCTCCTAGCCCCTAGCTTTGTTGGGTTTTCTTGGTTCGGCCCATCTGTGTCTTTGCCTACATTGTTCTGTAACAACTCATTAAAGGGTCTAGAAATTTTTGCTAAATTCTATATGAATCTTTGGTAGTAGGAACAGAACCCCAAGAAAGATCTCAACTCTGTAACAGTTCTTGGCCAGGAGATGACAGCCTGCAGCTTCTTAGGGTCAATTGCCACCCCTTCGGCTGAGACCACATGTCCCTGCAGCATTCAGTTAAGAACCCTAACGAGCTAATGACAGCCGTCTTCTCTTGATCATGGGGGGGGGGGGGGGGGGGTGAATTGCTATCTGATAATACTCACTCTTCAAGCCCAAAATGGTTTGCTCTGGACAAGCATTGAAGGGCATCTTTCAGAGTTCTGTAACTGATGTACATCCAAATAGACCCATTTTTCTTTCGCACAATGACTATGGGGAATGTAAAGGGGCTTTTGAATTCTCTGATTCCAGACTTCTTCATTTTTTTGCCAACTGTTCTCAAAGGTCTTTGAGGTCTTTTAAGGGTATCCTTCAAGCTCTCTCCCAGAAATGTTTATCTTTGCTGTTCCGAATTTGGGTGTTGTACACTCTGCACAACCCACATCAAACTCATTCTTAGAAAAACATCTCTTCCCATTCAAACAGCTGCTTTTTTTACCCTCTCTTCCTACCGTTGAGTCAAGGTGGGATACTGGGCCTAGGATCCTCCTCAGTGGTCTCCACTGTCCCCCTCTACCTGTAGTGAGATGATGGGGGGACAGGCCTACAAAGTGTTTTGGTAGGCCATTCGTCTTGGGTTTGGCCACTTGGACCTTTGCTAGCTTAATTGATTGTTGCAGTGACTTGTCAGTAGTTTTAGGGGAAGGTGGTGCATTGACTTTCCGTGTCCTCCTTCCTGACACGAGTGGCTCAGAGCTAGTCACAGGTAAAGGGCTGGGGGAATATGTGGAAGACCTTGTTTGGTATTTAAGTTTGGGATCTCCCAGATGTTTGGAGCTCTGATTCTTCTTTGGGCCCTTGGTTGGCTGCTTCACTGAGGGCACGCACCTGGCGATCTCCGTGATTGCTGTGTCCTACGGACACAGATGATCCTGTGATGTGGTAAAAGGCCAATCACAGCAGCCTTTTACCACTTGATCAGCTGTGTACAATGACACAGCAGATCACCTGGTAAGTTCAGATGTCGGTTATCGGCTGCACTTTCCTCACGCTGTCACTGTACTGCCGATAACCGGCAATTGCCAGAGGACGTATGATCCGTGCCCAGCCCAGCAGTGCCAGCCACCAGTGCCACCCACCTGTGCCCAGCAGTGCCACTCACAAGTGCCCAGAAGTGCCACCCACCTGTGCCCATCAGTGCTGCCCATCAGTGCTGCCCAGCAATGCCACCCATCAGTGCCGCCTATCAGTGCCCATCATTGTTGAATATCAGTGCAGCATCATCAGTGTTGGCTCATCAGTGCTGCATATTAGTGCCCATCAGTGCTACCTATCAGTGCAGCCTCATCAACGCACATCAGTGAAGGAGAAAAATTACCTTTTTGCAAAATTGTACAATCGGAACTAAGAAAAACTTTTTTTTTTTTTTTTTACTTTTTTTGCTCTTTTTTTGTTTATAGTGCAAAAAAATAAAACACCCAGCTGCGAGTAAACAAGAATTTACCAGCAAAAGAAAGCTCTATTTGTGTGAAACAAATTATAAAATTTTCATATGGGTACAGAGTTGCATGACCACGCAATTGTCATTGAAAGTGTGACAGTGCTGAAAGCTGAAAATTGGCCTGGGCAGGAAGGGGGTATAAGTGCCCAGTAGGCAAGTGGTTAACAATACTCAAGTACAGTCCAGTGTAAGCTCTGCCCTTGTATTCAGAATATATGCTTTCTGTTCTGGCACTAGAGCCCTTGAACTTGTTTCTCACTCGGTAGGTCACCGACAGAAATAGAAGACAAGTCCACCTTGCTTTAACTCTTAACTTGCTGCATCACTGTTCATTCTCTGCTTGCCACTCCAGAGTGGCTGTCAGCACTTTCTCATTATGGGTATACTTTTGTCCTATCCCTATACTCAATGGAGAGCAGTTGAACCCCAAGACATTCTCCAGCTGGGGAATGCCAATCATTAAGGGACTACATGGCTGGAAGAAAGGTTCCACTGTGTCCTAAGGGTGCCAGACTTGAGTTCTCTCTTCACATAGGAGAATAGAAGATGGTGATAAAACTGGAGCGTTGTGGAAAAACTGGGCTTCTGGCTGAACAGAACTCTGCCACTTCTGGCCACAATTGGGAGAGACTGCTCATCACACATTTTGATGCCTGGCAGGATCAGACTGTACTATAGAGCACTCCCACCACTTGTAGGGAAGGAAAAGAGAGACTCATTCAGCAAGATTGAAAGAGAGAGATCACAGCAACTTCTATACCTGTCTGACTTTTACTGAATCAGAGAAAGTGTCCAGAGATGTCGGACGAGAAGGCCTGACTCAGAATCTCTGCTCTAATTCATCCCAAAGGTGTTCTAGTTCAGGACTCTGTGCAGGCCAGTCAAGTTTCTCCACCCCAAACTCGCTCATCCATGTTTTTATTGACCTTGCTTTGTGAACTGGTGCTCAGTAATGTTGGAACAGGAAGGGGCCATCCCAAAACTGTTCCAACAAAGTTGGGAGCTTGAAATTGTCCAAAATGTCTTGGTATGCTGACGCCTTAAGAGTTCCCTTCACTGGAACTAAGGGGCCAAGCCCAACCCCTGAAAAACAACCCCATACCATAATCCCCCCTCCAACAAACTATACACTTGGCACAATGCAGTCAGGCAAGTACCGTTTTGGCAACCGTCAAACCCAGACACATCCAGCAGATTGCCAGAAAGAGAAGCGTGCTTTTTCCCTCCAAAGAACACGTCTCTACTGCTCTAGAGTCCAGTGGTGGCGTGCTTTACACCACTGCATCCAATGCATTGCATTGCGCTTGGTGATGAAAGGCTTGGATGCAGCTGCTCAGCCATGGAAACCAATTCTATGAAGCACTCTATGCACTGTTGTTGTGCTAATCTGAAGGCCACACGAAGTTTGGAGGTCTTTAGCTAATGACTCTGCAGACAGTTGGTGACTGTGCGCTTCAGCATGCGCTGACCCTGCTCTGTCATTTTACATGGCCTACCACTTTGTGGCTGAGTTGCTGTTGTTCCCAGTTGCTTCCACTTTGTTATAAAACTACTAACAGTTAACTGTGGAATATTTAGTAGTAAGTAAATTTCACAGATGGACTTATTGCACAGGTGGCAACCTATCACGGTACCATGCTTGAATTCACTAAGCTCCTGAGAGCAACCCATTCTTTCACAAATGTTTGTAGAAGCAGTCTGCATGCCTAGGTGCTTGATTTTATACACCTGTGGCCATGGAGTTGATTGGAACACTTGAGTCCAATGATTTGGAGGGGTGTTCCAATACTTTTGACAGTATAGTGTATATGCATAATCCAAATCATCTGTGGGAGAGATTTCTTTGTAGAAAGCACATTCTTTGTATTGTGGCAAATCAGAAAGCACAACTTTTGGTTTTATGGGTTTATAAATATAGATTGGGTTTGCTGTTATCATGGGTTCTCAGCAAATCTCTGGGATTTGTGAAGTTCACAAATTGGAAACGTTTGGCTGAAAGGTTTGCAGGCTCATGCATGAACTTATAATGCAGTGCATAACATATGCCTTAGTAAGATGAATCACAAGAGCCACAATTTTGAAGCAGTGGATAACTCACCCCTCTTTTCATAAAAGGGTGGTTTCACAGCAGACATTGTCAATGTGTGTGTTGGCTATTACAGAAAGCTGACATATTTGTTTAAGGGTGACATAAGGGATTTTTTTTAAATGTTGGTATTGGTACATGTCCCATGGTAGTGCTGAATCACTTTGCCTTTTGTTCAACAATACAAATGATCAAAACTGAATAACAAGATTCATCCACCCCTCACATAGCTTTCAATGGTATTTGCAGCAAAGTTTGCAAAACTGTTCACGAAATGAAAGTAGGCAGATTGGCTCATCTCTATTTATAGCTGTAGGTGATAATGTAGGCTATGTCTCCTATCCACAGTATACTTTAAAAATACATTTTTAGTGGGCAGAAATTAAAATGTACTGAATGTATACTTTAGTTTCCTTTATATTTATACTTTTCCTTGATGGTCTGCTTTAAAACAAGTGATTGCAATTTTGTCAGCTTTAATCATTTGTAGTTTTCATTTCAAAATAAGTGGACATTTGGAAAATGCTAACAATGTCAAATGCTTGACATCAGAACTATTCATACTGTGTATATAAAGTGTGTGTGGTTAATCAACAATATAAAATAAATGATCAAATATATCCATATTTGCACTAAATATCCTTTAATGTTATTTTCTTTCCTTATCAATAGATGTTACATTTATGTTATTCTTATCACTTTGCCTAGTCAAAAATGATTGGTATGAAATCTTTAGATAAAAATGGAGCTTTACAATTCTTATTGGCTGTATGGCATTTGGCCCCATTGGTAAGTTGTTTTTTTATGCGTTCTTCATTACGTAATTGGCAATGTATTTGACGGCAAGCATAGTTTCCTCGCAAGTGGGTTTGATCTGACTTTCGGGAAGAGCAAATCCATATCTTCCTTTGTCACGCAGCTCGAATGTGTAGGAATATTTCACACCAGCATCATAAGCCCAGTCATCGGAGCCTCCAGAAGCAGGGTCTGCAGCAAAAATACATTATTTTTTTAAAAGGTATTTATAATAGATATAGTTTAAAAAGTTGTTTCACCCAAAAGTCATATTTTAGTTATACCTTGATTCTAAAGCCAAATGAGCTAACTTGGAAACTTCAGGAGAAACATTTTTGAGCTGTAGTCCATGTCAATTTATCTGCCCCTCTGTCTATTTTACGGACTTCTTCATGTAAAAGAATAGAACAGTCCTTGCCTCCCTTAGTTCTCATCTCCTTTTTGCACCTTTTTGCACTGAATTCTATCCAAATCACAATAATGGCACAATTCAGAGCCATTATAGGCTCTATTCAATAATGGATCTATTTACAAGCATTATATTCTCCATAGTATAAAGTAAATAAAAAATAAGTAAGGGGATGTTGGGCTGAGTTTAAGCACAGAGATCTCAAATTAACCGAGATATATAAGAAACTGGTAAATGGTATAGTTCGGCGGCATCTATAAAAAGTCAAAATGTGAGTTATGGATGGATTCTTCCTTTCACAAATGTATTTTCAAAAAAATACTGTTTGTGTTGAATCAGAATAAACAGCCAGCTTCCAAAAAGATGTATTTTCATTTTGAAAAATAAGAGACTTTGAAGATTGCCAATGCATATTACCTTTCTGCAAAAGCTAATTAATTGGCTTTCTGGCTTCCATATTTGAGATGTATTTATTCAAAACATTCAAAGCAATTCACCCAATGAAAGTGCACATATATTTGTTCTTTGCTATTGGGTAAAAAAATTATTATTAGGCTATTTTGTGTGCTAGCAGAATGTTTTCATTGTTTTAAAACAGAAAAAGTGCATTTGGCACTAGATAGTGCTTAGCATCACAAGACTTTCTTATGACAATTAGCTCAATCTAGTATTATTATATGTATATAATTATACACAGAAAATACATAATTATATAATTACTATAAATGGGGCTGCACTTACTAGAAAGTAAAGTGCTACTATGTGCTTTAAAGTGCTATTTGTGTAATAAAAATTCATAGCTGTCACCACAAAATTCTATATAAATGTGTGACCAAAAACAAAATAACTAAAAACTTAACATAGATACTAGGGAAAAAAATGTAAATCATAACATAGGGACATACAAGATTACAGTGTACACAAAGTGTACAAGTAGCAAGAGGACCAGGAGGTTGAAGCTTCCCAGGAATCCTCAGTAGAGAGGGAGATTGTCCCACAGGAAGTAAGGGAGCAATTGATTAAAGATAGAACCCTTGGTGGATAATGCAAAAACTAGGAAATATGACTGAAAAGAGAACTGGATCCCATTACCAACAGTATCATTGGGAACATGGAAGCCTGGAGATTAGAGGATGTCAAGGTCCTTCTAATTTTAGTATACTGACTTACAATCAGTCTATACCTTTAGGGGAAGTAACATCAGGGGCATACAACAGAGGATGCCCACACAGGAATAGATATACCTTCCCTACACGATCGATTAAGGGTCCCATCCAAGAGAGGGAATGGTGGAGGAGGGTACCCACCAAACTACAGACTACCCTATCAGTGAGGGGAGGGGAATGGAGAGTGGAAGGCTCCATACAGAATGGGATCCCCCGAGTTACTGAAACGTAGATGGGCTAGAAAGAAAGGATGTGGAGGTGGTAAGAAAAAGGAAAAGAGAATCCTACAGGAGGGGATTTTTAATTTGAGTAATGTCACATTCACAAAGGAAGAGATAAACATTTTACACCTAGGGTTAAATTTGCTCCAGGCAAGGTTTTTAACAAATTTGAAACATACATTGATTTGCAAAAATTTGTCAGCAAGCTTAATATTGAAAAACATTTTGCTCTGAATAAAGATGAACAGAATGATCTGGCTTCTAAGAATAAGTTGGTGCTTAAACCAAAACCAGCGGAACACCAATATATGGCTGAGTATACAAGTATGGTGGAACATGATACCAAGCCATAGAAACTATCGAAATCGAAAAATGTATCCATGGTTTAGAAAAAAGAAAAGATAATGATATCCACCCTGTGGACAAAAGAGGGGGCATAGTAATATTGAGCAAAGAGGATTATGATCATGGAATGGAAAGGATTCTGGGAGATGGAAATACTTGCCAAAAATGTAAGTTAGACCCAAGTAAGAAATTTAAAGAGACATTTGGTAAATTGGTGAAAAAAGAGAAATATCCAAGGTGCTAAACAAGAAAGAAGCAAGATACCTAGTACCTGAGGCCCCACAAATCCCTATAATTTATCAGGTGCCCGAAGTCCACAAATAAAAATGCAAACTTCCTGGCCTATTGTAAGTGGGGTGGATTCCCTAAATACAAGGATTGGAGAAAATATGGATGTCTATTTGCATCCCTTAGTGAAAAAACGTCTCTTCGTATGTAAAAGATAGCAAAGATGTTATTACACAGTTAAAGGACTTGCCATTGAATGAGTGGTGTATTTTGGTGACCGTAGATATTGAATCATTATACTCTAACATAAAACAGGTAGGTGCCCTGGAGGCTGTAAAATTGACCTTAAGAGATCAAACTAATCTGGAAAGAGCACAGATGAAGTTTATTATGGAAGCCTTGCAAATGGCAAATTTAAACCAGATTAAAGGATTTAATATGGGGGCTAAATATGGATAATATTTTCTTTTAATAAATGGGAGGACATACCAGTATATAGCAAAAATTGGCCTCAACTGAAGGTGAACAAAAAGTAAATCAATGATATCTTGTTTATTTGGGAGGGCTCGTATGAAGAATTGGATGGATTCATGCAATATATTAATAATAAAAGTATGACATTCAATTCACTGAAAATAAACACACAGAGTATATTAGCTTATTACATTTGGTTATTTCTAATCATGAAGGAACCTGCATACAAAGATCCATTTCAAGGACTCTGATAGAAATGGGTACATTCCCTCTAACATTTACCACCCTAAGTGGATCAGTGGCATACCCAGATGGCAGTATACTAGAATAAAACACATTTGTGATATGGAGGCAAATTATGATATCAAAACCTGGGTACTTACCAATAGGTTTTTAGATAAAGGCTATAACAGGAAATTGTTGGAAGATACTAGAAGAATGGTGGGTGAATTGGATAGAGAAGGGCTACTGGTAACTAAAGAGAGGGATACCAAAACTCTAGATGTGCTCTTTTCAAGATGTCATTGCTCCTCCTCCAATACTTCCATCTAGGATTTCTCCAGAGCCTCTCATATCCTTTGGAACTCCTTACCTCAACTTGTATGGCTATCTCCTACGCTATCTGCCTTTAAAGGATCCCTGAAAACTCATATTTAAGTGAAGCCTATCCAGCCTCTATCTAACAATTGGAATTGTATTTCTCGAACAACCCATCCCCACATAGTTATTCCCTTTTGTTTCACTTGTCCTTCCCTTTAGATTGCAAGCTCTCACAAGCAGCCCCCCAACCCTCTTGTCTTTTCATAAATTATATTGTAACTCTACCATCTCCCTTTATTTGGTAAAGCACTGTGCAAACTGTTGACACTATATAAATTGTGTACAATAGTAATAATAACTCACAAATTGTAGATGCACCAGGACCATAAGTGTATTGAGTTCCATAGAGGGAAGTCAAAGCAGAAACGGCACCCTTGGCAACAGTATTCTGAAAGAACATGGAGGCACAAATGTATTAAAGAGAAGAATAAACATCCCTGTGAATGTTTCAGACTGTCATAGATACTGTTCTGGTGGTAAGTGTGATTTAAAATGGGTGTAATTTTAAATATTTGTATCATTGCTCAAACAACAGCCAACTGCCAAAATTATATTTATAACTTCTGTATAAATAAAATAAAAGCTTTTGTTCACCTGCAACATGTTTGTGCTAGCTCAGTTTTTACAGTATAACAAGGATAGATAGTGAAAGAAAAAATATTATACGCTCCAACAAAGAACAGCCTATGTTCATGTATCTATAAATCCCATGCCCGGGGCGGAATTTATACTCTCTGCCTCACGGCCAGTCGAAATGTGTCACACCTTAATTGCCTTTGTGGGTTGATGAAAGAGAGGATGAAAGATTGCTCACCTACTCTGCATCAGTTCATTCAGAACCAATCTACTAGTAGAGTAGTGAAAACTATTTTATTGGCAGTTCTATCAGATCCTGAGTCATGGAGAGGCAATAGAAAGCACATAAATACCCTTCCGGTTCAATATCTGATGCCAACTAAGAGTTCAGTCCTGGGTTCAGTTCAGTCTGCTACTGAAAAGCGATCCAGTGGCTAATGAGCCACTTGGACCACTGTAATCAGAAAGCCAGCTGTCAGCTGAAAAAAAAAAAGATACCGGGTTTTAAAGCTGATATCTTCAGCCATGATCCTTGGAAACCACTTGAAAACCACAATGTTTATATACAGTATGTATCGTGGTCAAGTCAAGTGGTTAAACATTTGCTTTAGATATAAGTTAGTGTTCATGATCTGGCTACTTTTCTGTAATTTCATGCCCATATATTTATTTTACACTTTGGTATCTGCTATTTTGAAATAGTAATTTTACAATGGGGTTGATTTACTAAAACTGGAGCTTGCAAAATCTGGTGCAGTTGTGCATGGTAGGCAATCAGCTTCTAACTTCAGCTGTTCAATTAAGCTTTGACAAAAAACTGGAAGCTGATTGGTTTCTATTCAGAGCTGCACCAGATTGTGCACTTTCCAGCTTTACTAAGTCGAACCCAACGTCTCTGCATTTGTGCCTTTATTTTTATGTGTAAACCAAACTTATAAGGAAAACATTTAAGAATATGACACCTATACTAACAGCTGTGATGTGTAAAGTGGTTGCTATTGGGTTTATTTGCTAAAGTAAAAAAGTTTTTTTCACAGCTTTTTTTGCTGTTAGGTGGAAAATGTCACAAGTTCATCCAGTTCAACCAATAGAAAAAAACAAATAAACAGAATAAATACATAGAAAACCACATATACAAAATTCTATACCCACTGTTGAAAAGAAAAACCCCTATATAAAGCATGGTCTAATTTGCTCCAGCAGGGGGAAATTAAATTCCTTCCTGATCCCCCAAAAGGTAATTGAATATTTCTTGGACTGACAATCCCTGGTATTTTTACTAATAAATTATTCCTCTGGGAAACTTCCCTTGCAAATGCAACTTCCCTTGCAAAGTGAACAATTTATTTGCCTTTAGCAAATCAATCCCAGTGTGTTCTAACGATATTCCATCAGGAGGCAAGCAGAACCATTGCTTGTTAACAAGCCAGGTAGGATAAGACAAGGAACGGGAAGATTGTTTTATGGTTTCCAGTGAAAAATATTTCCTCCAGGAACTCACATAGTTTCTAAAAGCAAACTTATTAAAATCATGATTTATCAGTAATTGGTAGACTTGCCTTTTATACACTTTCAAATATAATTTAACACAGTGTATTGGTAATGCACTGGGAATTATTTAATTAAGGAGTAGAGTATGTCATCTGATTCCTCCTGTATTGAATTGTATTATAACTGTACTGTCTTCCTTCATGTTGTAAAGCGCCGCGCAAACTGACGGCACTATGTAAATCCTGTATAGTAATAAAATTAATAATAATGTTCAGTTTGCAAAGTGTATTTTCACTTAGCTGAGGGAATGAGGTGAGGGTAAGCAAAAACTCAATTTGCAAAGAAAGACCAATCATGTGCAAGGAAAATTATAGTAATAATTGTACATAAAAAAAAAAACACATAATAAAAACAGGATTTTTGCTTGCATGTGATTAGGTGATTGGATTCAGCACAGCTCCACTTTATTCTCGAATTTATTTTGCTAAGTAAACAGCTTATTGTCTTTTTGTAAATCAACCCCACCATCTGGAAAACAATATGTGTTGACAAACTCACCAATTCATTGTGATCTTTAGCAAGAGATTTGGTATAAGAGTAAGGGAACAGCAGCATCTGGAGATAAGAGTGGATAGTCAGGTAAGCCTTGATGGAGCCAATGTTGGAACGTATAAAGTCAGCCAGAGCTTTAGTTTCTTTTTCAGATTCAGGAGCAGTACCGCAGTATGTGTCATCACAAGGGTTTTTAGAAGTTCCGGTTGCTTAAAAGGTAAGTATTAAACATAAAATCAGATTATAGCAGATAGGTTCATGAGTATGTAAAATGCGCTAATGTATTCATTCAAAAACACTAATAGGATGTCTTTCAGACAATTTCATGTATCAAGCGCACAAGTGAATGGTATGTCATCCAGATTTGATATCTAACTGAACATAGCATCTCACTTCCTTAAATTAATAGCACATACATTTGCACAGCATTTCCAGTTACTAAATTCAAGCACTTTTTGATGGAATTCAGTGGAAGCTACAATCAGGGCTGCTGTTAGAAAATAACACCCCCCCCCCCCCTGCAAAAAAACCCTCACAGCTTACTATTTATTTATTTCAGGTACTTATATAGTGCCGTCAATTTATGCAGCGCTTTACATATACGTATTGTACACTCACATCAGTCCCTAACCCTCAAGGGGTGTACCATCTAAGGTCCCTAACTCATTTTCATACATACTAGGATCAATTTAGACAGGAGCCAAGTAACCTACCAGCATGTCTTTGGAGTGTGGGAGGAAACCGGAATACCCGGAGGAAACCCACGCAGGCACAAGGAGAACATGCAATATGCTGAAATTAGGAATGAATGCGAGTGTTCAGTACTGATCGCTCACTGTGTTCATTCATGAAAGGAAGGGGCTGGTAAATGGGATGTATTTACTGGAACCTTTCCCCACTCTCCATCCTGAAGGATCCTATTGTCCTAGTGCAGCTGCCAGTGGAAAGGAAAGGAGGGAAGCTGACAGCACTGTGGGGGCCTGGGCAGCAGGGGAAAATGGGGAAATGTATGGTGCACAAGAAGGGTAATGTGGAGCAATTACTGGAACCAATCCCCTGTATGGCTCCCTCTGCAGCAGCTAAAAGCCGACAGGAAGGAGAGGAGAAGAAGTCAGCTGCTGCAGAAAGAGCCATACAGGGGATCGGTTCAAGTAATTGCCCCTCCGCTGTTCTGATCAACCTTCCTGCATACATCTGATTCACCCAGCTGCCTGGGCCCCCCTGCTGTCCTGGGCCCCCTACAGGAGGACTAGTGGTACCCCCTTATCCATGGCCCTGGCTGCAATAGTGTAATTTCACTGAGATGTCATTAGATAACTTGCATAGCTACATGTTAGACAATCTGCACATCTTCAGCTGTGGAGGAACTACACCCATATTATCAAAGCCTGTCGAGACTTACGAATATTCAAACACTGGGACATTCTTTATTTCCTATAGCTGGTCTACACACTTTACATGACTTTAAGAAAAATAATGCCATTTTAGGATGTTTTAAAATATTTTGGAAAAACATGAAGCCACTTACTGCACCATCCAGCATTGAAGTTTCTGTTTAGATCGGTTCCAAGGCAGGCAGAATTCTTGTTAACAGAGAGAGTCTTTCTCCACATGCGGTACTACGGTGAACATCATCATGGTTAGAGAGTTTAGCTACACTATAATATTAGCTCTTTTTGTCATTTGGTGTCACAGGCTACTTACTGTGGTCCAAGAATGCACATAACCATCAACATTCACGACAGGGAGAACATAGAAGTCCAGGTTGTTCAAGAGGTTGGTAAACTGAGCATCTCTGCCATAATTGTTAACTGCCTGAGATATGAAAAAAATTATTAATATAAGTTAACTATATCTCATACCATCTCTTTTATCCTCATTGAGGTTCAATGTCAGATCATATGACTGCATCATTTAATGTCTAAAATGTGTAAAAATTGTGAAGAAAACTTTCTAAACACAGGAGACTTTAGCCTATGGTATTGCCTAAAGTTCAAATTTACATCATCTATATACTGCAAGACTCTAACACAGACAGAGTGTATGTAAAAAGACTCTGTCACCAACTTGGTGAATGCCCCCCCCCCCCACATCCCTTAATAATAAAAATGTATGTAGCAGCTGAGGGAGGATAGAAGGGGAGTAGTATAGAATATCACTTGAGTGACAGCTCTGAGCCTGCTGAAATCACATCCATGGTGGTGGAACCCACTAGCTGTCTCAGGGCGTTTGAATGTCTACACAAGGGAGGCTTTTGCAGGTAAATAACATGCAGAAAATGCATTTAAGTGGTTCTAAAGGCAGAAGGTCTATTTTACCTTAATGCATTATTTGCATTAAGGGAAAAAACCTTCTGCAAGCACCTCCTCCCCCAACCTCCCCTCATACTTACCTGAGCCTGACCTTGATCCAGCGATGTGCATGAGAGAGCAGAGACTCTTTCAGTTCTCTCCCTCCTCATTGGTTCAGACACACAGCAGCGGGAGCCATTGGTTCCCACTGCTGTCAATCGCAGTCAGCAAGGAGGGAGTGGGGGGAAGGGGGCCGAGCTGTGCTCTAGGTGTCTTATGGACATACAAAGCTGGTTTAGGAGCGAGCATGCACAAGTGGCTTGCTATGGTGGGCACTCGGTGGGGGGAGGGGCTGGAAGCGCTGGCAGGAGACCTGAGAAAGGGAGGATCGGGGCTGCAGAGAGCAGGTAAGTATGACATGTTTGGGGTTTTTTTTGTTTTTTTTTTACTTTATTCTTTGCAATCTCTTTAAATGCACATAAAATCTTATGGGTAGATTTGTGTTTTCTGTTGACAGGTTCTTTTTAAATGGCAACAACTTATGAGGTGGATTAACTCTCACTCTTAATGGCACTCTATAAATTCTGCTTACTAATTTTCTGTCAATATTCAAAAATGTTTATATTTATTGAAAAAGTATTTATATAACTATAATCAAGTCTACATTAAAAGATAAGTTCACCTTCTTAAAAAAATAATAAATACACATCTTTTTGCAGGTAATAAAATGTGCATTTATTATTTTTTTACTTGGAGCCTGTAAAGCATTGCACCCGTAATCAGCAGATTTTAGGTACCATGCAGAACTTCTGCCGACTTGTCAGTATCTGTATGCTCGTACCTCGTACAGGCAATACAAATACACACTTACAGGTAGAGGCAATGAACTGCCAGGGCGCTCAATAGCAATAGTTTATTGAGAACTACAAGATGAGAGCCACAAAGGCTGTCAGTAGTTTCCAATTCAAAGAATTCACATTTAAAAAAAAATAATAGTGACAGCAAGAGGGGTGGGGGGTGGGGGGAAAAGATCCCACACTTGCTGACACTAGAGGCAACAGAGTGGGCAGCGGCGAATATGTTACATGTTCCTCCTAAAATCAGGTGAAACATGTAACAAGTTCCCAAAGGTAAACTTGTTCTTTAAAGACCCATATGGCATATTTATAAAGCAGTAAAAGTGTTCGCCAAACATTCACTGTTGCTTAATCCACCCTGTGAATATATTTTAATATACAATAAATGACTCAACACCAGTGAATGTTTTCTAAATGTCATTGCATTATACTGTAGATATGCCCCCAAAAATACCAGCAGTTTGAAGCGTGATGATATACTCAGTATTCCCATTATAGCCTATCCTGTTGATTGTGTACTCACTTCCTTTACAAACCACTGACAGAAAGCAGGAGAGACCCATTCTCTAGCATGGAATCCACAGTCAATGAAGACCGCCTTCTTGTTTGTTCCACTTTTTCCAACCTTGAATATAAAACATTCATGTCACAAATTTGGAACCATATAAGGAACATAGAGCAGGGTCTTTCAATTATAGAAAATATGTAAAATATGAACAGACCACAAATCAAGTAAAATTTGTGTTGGCACATCATGGGGAGATCACAAAGAAATATGGTAAAAAATGCCCATTGTGTTGGCATGCTAAGGCTGGAAGCCGTACCCCACAATGAGAGATTGTCCTTCTACATTTCATTTTTAGCACATAAACTACACAGATATTGTAGTAAACCTTTGACTCCCGTCACTTGAGGAAACTGTATAGTGCATAGCCAGGGACATATCCTTTTTATAGGTAACATTATACTAGTGAAACGAAACGTCTGTGAAATGTATGAAAGGAGTACATGGTGGACTAAAAAGCAATGCTCACAGTACAAACGAAATACAGACTGTCTAAAATGGCTCTCTCTACTCACTACATCTTGTAATAAAACTTCCTTCTGTACATCTCGTTAAAGAGATTTTTCCATTCATGTGGAGTGGAGGAGGGTTTAAAAATCATCATAATCCTAATACACAGGCATGATAGGTGGTGAGATTCTCTGCAGAGCTGGTCAGTACTGCATGTGTATTTGGAAGCTCTGTACATCTAGTGCAGCTTTCACTAAATGTCGGACTGCAGTCCGAACCGTCAACCCCACATTCTGCTGAGTTTGATCCTCACTAAGCTTCGGTCTTCGGTTGTTAAGACCGCAAGTGTTATAGCAACCAATGATGTCATGTGTGCCTGCCCCCTGCAGCACACTTCTCCTCTGCCAGCTCCCGGCCCCCTGCCTGCCTGCTTCTAATGGATTCTGATAAGCTATAGTGAGACTCTGATGGGGGAATCTGGTGTATAGGGGCACTCTGTATGGGGCACACCTGATGGATAGCGACACTCTGTATGGGGCACACCTGATGTTAGGGGACACTCTGATGGGGGACACCTCATGTAAGGGGACATTCTGATGGGGGACACCTCATGAAAGGGGGGACATTCTGATGGTGGACGCCTCATGTAAGGGGGGCCACTCTGATGGGGGACACTTCATGTAAGCCGGAACACGCTGATGGGGGACACCTCATGTAAGGGGACACTCTGATGGGGGAATCTGGTGTATAGGGGCACTCTGTATGGGGCACACCTGATGGATAGCGACACTCTGTATGGGGCACACCTGATGTTAGGGGACACTCTGATGGGGGACACCTCATGTAAGGGGACACTCTGGTGGGGGACACCTCATGTAAGGGGACATTCTGATGGGGGACACCTCATGAAAGGGGGGACATTCTGATGGGGGACACCTCATGTAAGGGGGGACACTCTGATGGGGGACACTTCATGTAAGCAGGGACACGCTGATGGGGGACACCTCATGTAAGGGGACACTCTGATGGGGGACACCTCATGTAAGGGGACACTCTGATGGGGGACATCTATTGTAAGGGGGGACACTCTGATGGGGGACACCTCATGTAAGGGGGGACATTCTGATGGAGGACACTTCATGTAAGGGACACTCTGATGGAGGACACTTCATATAAGGGGACACTCTGATGGGGGACACCTGATGTAAGGGGGTACACTGATGAGGAACACCTGATGTACAGGGCACTCTGAGGGAGACACCTTATGTAAGGTGGTTCTATTTTCTTTTACTTGAAATGTGGATGTGATTGGCCTACTTTTATGTTTTATTAAAGAGAGATTCAGACCTCGGGTGGAAGAGAATTTTAGCAACCTGACCTCCTTGAATTTTAATTCATTACCCCTGCTCCAGAGTGCCTTCTAAAGAAGTATGTAGAGCTACAGGCCAGAGAGAGTAAACAGCTCAGTGTTCCCCATAGCCATTCAAAAGAGGTGAGAAATTTCCGTTAGGCTTTAGGACAGCCAGGAATACACAATGCATAATCAGCCCTACTCTACTCCACTCCACCCAGGAGAAATGATTATTTCTTGTGAACTTGCAATATATTTAAATACTACCAGCTATAAAGGTGCACTGGTAACAATACCGACAGTGAAATTACCTTAAGTAAATACATAGGACGCCCCTGGTATGAGGTTCCAATCTGAGAGAGAGACACCAGAGATGGGTTCTGAGCGGCGATGTTAGCAGACCAGGCATTGATCTTTGGGATACACATATTTTAATTAGAGGGCATGAATACTTAATATACAATGCTTAGCGAGCTACAGTAGACATACATACAGTATCAAGATCATTGTATTTTTCATAGCTGTGTACTGCACGAATGTTGCTATCGCGCTGCTTGTCCAGTGCCACCTGAAGGTCATCGATCATAATTCTGAAGAAAAAAGCAGATAACAAATGTTATACATTTTAGAAAAACATAACTGTAGAAATCAGATGGTTAGTTAGCTGTCTGACCTGCCTTTGTTCCAATATGTCATTTATAGCGGTCTAACCATCCACTATACTTTGCCTACGTATGGATAAGTTCATCATTTTAGTCCTAGTGTTGTTTTAAATCAACCTTTACCTCAGCACTGCTTTGTATGCAGCCAGTCAGAGATGGAATCACTGGCTGTTTATGGTCCAGCTCAAGGCCAAGTAGTTAAGCCCTATTCACACCGGTTCAACATGTCATGCGATTTGACAGTTTCAAGTTGCACCCTTGTCATCGGAGTTGCACCAATTTTGAAAGTAGTTCCTGCACTACTTTTTTTTGCAATTTCAGGTGCGACTGGCAAGTTGCACCTAAAGTCGCACTGACATGTGACTTTGAAATCATGTGACTTCAAGTGAGTCAGTGTGAACCAGGGCTAAATCAACTTCTGGGCTTTTGATCATGCTAAAGTTGCTAAAAGATGGCAACGCACCCTGGTATTACAACAATGTTTCTGCATTCATGAAAAAATGCAATAATGTCTCTCTGATGGCACTGGATGTCCAATAAACTGCTAAGGTCATGTTAAAAGACACTAGGCTTATTCAAATAACTGCAATATTTAATTATTTTATGCAGATAACAGCAAAACATAGATCGCTATTATACTGTACATGATCTGAACAAGAAATTAAAAGTGTATGTCAAGTCAAAACTTTTTATTTTCTTTTAGGATAGAAAAAAAAAGATTAGGAACCCTGTTTTTACTCTATTTGGGGCTCCATTAGAGCGATTTCCCTTCACTATCTATCATCTTACTAACCATCACAGCGACACTGATTAAAGTAAAATAGAATCTCTAACAGCACAACGTAATGAAGCGATAAGAAAATCTTTTTTACTTAGAGTATAGCAGGGCTTAAAAAACCCACTCGCCAAATGCGAGAAGAAATTCCTCTGTGGCGAGCGGCGAGCAGCGAGCACAGATGAAGCTTGGAGCGACTGCACCTGCGCTCCAAGCCTCATTGTGAAGCCAAGTTCCGGTTTACAACTTATGGTTTCCGACTTCTGCAGCACGACCGCTGAGGGGATAGGTGCAGGAGAGGTCCGCTCTCCGCTGAGAGGAGACACCCTTTCCACTGCCACGGGGGACTCGGAGGGACTAGGAGTAAGTACTGTATACAACATGTCATATCACTATAATGGAGTATAGGGGAGCTGGGATATACATTACTCAGTAATGTATATCCCAGCTCCCCTGTACTCCATTATAGTGATATGACATGTGTACAGTATGTATATCCCAGCTCCCCTGTACTCCATTATAGTGATATGACATGTGTACAGTAATGTATATCCCAGCTCCCATGTACTCCATTATAGTGATATGACATGTATACAATAATGTATATCCCAGCTCTCCTATACTCCATTATAGTGATACGACATGTATACAGTAATGTATATCCCAGCTCCCCTGTACTCCATTATAGTGATACGACATGTATACAGTAATGTATATCCCAGCTCCCCTGTACTCCATTATAGTGATATAACATGTATACAGTAATGTATATCCCAGCTCCCCTGTACTCCATTATAGTGATATGACATGTACACAGTAATGTATATCCCAGCTCCCCTGTACTCCATTATAGTGATATGACATGTACACAGTAATTTATATCCCAGCTCCCCTGTACTCCATTATAGTGATATGTCATGTACACAGTAATGTATATCCCAGCTCCCCTGTACTCCATTATAGTGATATGACATGTGCACAGTAATGTATATCCCAGCTCCCCTGTACTCCATTATAGTGATATGTCGTGTACACAGTAATGTATATCCCATCCCAGTACTCCCATGTATACTGTATCCCAGCTCCCCTGTATCCATTATGTGATATGACATGTATACAGTAATGTATATCCCAGCTCCCCTGTACTCCATTATAGTGATATGACATGTATACAGTAATGTATATCCCAGCTCCCCTGTACTCCATTATAGTGATATGACATGTATACAGTAATGTATATCCCAGCTCCCCTGTACTCCATTATAGTGATGACATGTATACAGTAATGTATATCCCAGCTCCCCTGGGAGTGGGGTTGGGGGCGGACCTGGGTAAGGTTGGGTGGGGCAACTGGTGGAGAGTAAGTTTTGTGACTGGCTGGTAGGTCTGGACTCAAAATTGTAACCCCTGAAGTATAGTAATTGTTACAATCCCTGTCAGTTTTTTAAATTTATGTTTGTGTTCCTGTTGCAGATTTTCCTTCAATTCCTTTCTGATGAAACCTTTGTCACTGGAATAAAAAGAGCTACTGTACTTTGAAAAAGTATTCATACCCCTTGAAATTTTCCACATTTTGTCATGTTACAACCAAAAATGTAAATGTTTTTAATTGGTATTTTATGTTAGACCAACACAAAGTGAAACATAATTGTGAAGTGGAAGCAAAATGTAAATTTCTCTAACAGAGCACCAGACTGCAGTAAATAACAGAAGGGATAATCCTCCCACTCTAACCAAAATCCCCCGAAAAGTTTTGGCCAGAGAATACTGCATAAGTGTCAACCATTCATGAAAGCACGTTCAATGCAATTCAGCATATTTGAAATAAAAACTGGTATAAATGGTACCATTGCATCGATCTATGTCTGAACACCCCCAACTTGATCCCATCTTGATGTTTCACACATAATTTACACAAAACAAAAAAGGGAAAATCTCCCCTTTAATTGAATGGCTAACATAGAGCCTTACTACTTAGTGTCATTCTGTAAAAATTGCATGTTAAATGTATGCTGCATTCTTATAGAAAATACTGAAAAAAATGTATATCTGAAAGATATCAAGGACATTGACTACCTTCTTTACCTAACTTCTATTCAGCATATTGTTTTCTCCAGAGGTTGTCATTTAACTTTAAAGTTCAACTTACTCAAAGGAAATTCCACTCTGCTCAAGCATGGCCTGAACATCATAGACCACATGGCGCTCAGCACGGAAGTCGACACGTCTGCCTGGTTCTACAAGATCCACAGAGTCGGGAGCCCAAAAGTCAAGCTGTTATGTAAAATGAAAATAATAAACCTTGATATATTCCAAGTAAACATTTCTACTTTCAATAAAAGTATTATTAAAAGTACAGTGATTATGGAACTAATGAAATACAGAACAGTGATGGTGGTATCTTTAAATCAAAATGAGGCTTGTTTGTTGACATGAACCCTCTATTGTTAAACATAGGGACAAGCTGCCATAAAATCCTCACATTTGCATTACATAAACAGACTTTTTAGGGATGCTACCAGTATAAGCTCATTTATACTTCAGAGATTGCCACAAGTAGACAATCTCTGCTACACACTGCAGTTATATTAGTCAAAAAGCAATATTTTAAACATCATTTGTCAGTTTTATTGAGGTTATTATATCCTATAAATAAATATAATAATCCAGACATAGCTACTTTAAGTGAATTTAGTTTCAGATCAGGAAGGAAAGGTTAGAACAAGGATAGGCAAGTTTGGAACTCCAGCTGTTGTTGAACTACAAATCTCATGAGTCATTGCAAGACTGACAGCCATAGGCATGACTCCCAGAGGCAGAGCCATTCTAGGATTTGTAGTTTCACCACAGCTGGAGCGCTGAAATGGTCTTTCCTTGTGTTAGAATGTCTTTCCTCTCTACTACTATAACACAACTACCTTAATCTAAATTAGGCAATGGCTTAGCTCATTCATAAAAATAAAGCAATATAATGCTGGGAAGATGAATGTAGGAAGGTATTAGGTGGGGTGAGAAAAATGGCATGGTTGCTATACAAATATTTTGTCAAATAATGGATAGGAATGTTTCATAATATGCATGCAAAGTACTAAATACTGCATGTTCTTTTCAGATGTGACCACTGACCAATTCAGTCCATTCTAAGATATAACATTATATTTCTTTATCCAAAACAGATGTTATACACAATGCCAGGGGCATTGTTGGCATACCCTTTATTGATGTTAATCTCCTAAATGCAATACAAGGGACTCTGTTTAAATTGTTAAAGTGCCATTCCATATAATGCACTCATCTCAAGTGTTACTTAGTACATTGTGACACTACGTTCTGGTTTAAAAGTATGTCAAGTATGTATTTGTAGCACCCTCATTAGATAGCTAGGGGGAGCTAAGTTAATTATTTTTCAGTAGGAGGCTGAATAGCAGCTGGGAGAAATAGTTAGAGGGGTAATATTTTGGTCAGGGTTGGGAGGCTCTGCAGATAAGCACTCTGGAACTTCCCCCTGATCTAGACTTGGAGAGGTCTCTAGAATTCAGAGGGTGGGAGTGAGGAGGAACTGTTCTGCACTCTCAAGGGATCCTGGCCAATCCCCAAGCAGGAGGCTTGGCATGGGGTCAGGATAGCCCTTAAGAGTGGTTGAGCCTACTCAGCAACAAGGAGAGTTTGGGTGGAAGATGGAGTAAGCAGGATGGTGTGTGGAGCCTGGGAGGGGTCTAGGAGAAGGGCCTACCTAAAGGTGGAGAAGCTAGAAGGAAGGATCTCTCAGCCTCATCGTCATCTGAGAGAGGGCAGCCTGGGAAGCAGGGAGGGATCCAGCTCAGCATAAGGCCTGAAAGCAGCCACCAACCCACAAGTTTGCAGGAGAGACTAAGTGAGTAATCCCACACCCCCTGAGCCAGATAAGGGGAGAGGGCATTTGGATGGGAAACCTGACTAGCCCCCATCTGGGACTGCTGATCTTCAGAGGCAAATTCCGGGTCCTCTTGCCCACGGATTCCCTCAGGTAGCTGGTTGGAGAGGAGATTTCATCTGGGGTCTGAGGCCGGATAGCTCTCCAAGAAGAGAAAACTTGTACATAGTTCCAGGACGTTGTCCTCAGTTCAACGGTTCCTTGGGCATCCCATGTATCCCTCATCCCCATCCAAG